CTAGAGACTTCTGGGATCACTATAGATGCTCCTGGGCAGAATTTCACTTAGTCCTCCAGGCCCCTCTGTAGGGTAAAGAAAATGTCAGGCTTTTCTGCCCTTCCGCCATCAGGATAGATGATGGATCCTTGTCCTGAATGCATGCCTGATGGCGGGCACCTGGAGTAGGGTGTGGGCATAGGTAGATGGGATTCACCTGGGCTGAGACTGGGCTTTTTAAGGGCGGCGTCACGGGGACGCCAGCAGTGGCAGCAGCAGCAGCAGCAGTAGAAGCAGCAGCAGAAGCCGAGAGAGAAGCCAAGAAGCAGCAGAACGAACGCTAGAGAGCCCAGATAGAGTGAAGACTTCCTGGGGGCTGGGAGGCCTGCCAACCTCCCAGCCCCCCAGCCAGCACCCCTGCCTGCCATATGCCTGGTGAACCCCAATAAAAGACCTGCAAAAACCCACTAAGGACTCTGACTCCTCCTTTACCTGGGCTGCATGGGATCAGAAAACCTGCACTGTGGCCTGTCCTGCCTTTACACCCTCATTCTGGAGACGCTGACATTTCTTCTCCCTGGTAAGCCAGGAGGGTCAGGGTGAGAAAAAGGGTGTAGGGTAAGGTAAAGTATAGGGCTTTTCTGCCCTCCTGCCTTTAGGATTGATAATGGATCCCTGTGGTCCTGAATGCATGCCTGATGGCGGGCACCTGGAGTGGGGTGTGGGCATATGTAGGTGGGTACACCTGGGCTGAGAGACTGGGCTCGTAAGGGCAGTGTCGCGAGACACCAGAGTAGCGGAACTACCAGAAGAGAGCACAAGTAGCAGTGGTGGACGAAATGAGCAGAGAGAACGAGAACACCAGGGAGCCCAGAAAGAGTGAAGATACACCGGGGGCTGCCTCCCAGCCCCCTGGCACCCCTGCCTGCCCTGTACCTGGTAAAATCCCAATAAAAGCCTGAAAAACCACTAAGGGCTCCAGGACTCTCCTTTACCTGTCTGCCCGGATCATAGAGATCCTGCTCTGTGCCTTGCTGGTACTACAGGCTCCCTGTGGCTGAAGCTCCCCTTGGGAAATTCAGAACTGGCAGCAGGCAGCCCAGAGTCCTGGCATGTCTAGAGTAGATACACACCCCATCCTAGGGCTGGGACTCTTAATGCCATGCAAGAAAGATTTGGCCTCAGTTGAGGCTACTGCCTGAGCCCCATAGGAAGTTTGGGCCTCACTGGGCCTGCACCCCTTATAGCCTGGGGCTGGTGACGAGGCCAGGGGTTTTTGGAGCAGGCCTCCAAGGGGCATTAGGAGGAGCAACCAGAAAGGTTGTGAGGCAGCAAACACTGAGAGGGAGAAGAAGGAAATGCCCCCCTTCCCTGGTTGGTGGAGGCCCTCCTTCCTGTGAGGGACTGGGCCCAGGGCTCAGACCTTCAAGCCTCCCAGCTCCCCAAACCACAGCCCAGAGGTGTGAAAGAAAGAAAAAAAAACAGGGGGAGGGGTGGCAGAGAAGACAGGTGCACATTTCACACCTTGACCACAGGTGGGGCCCGGAGCAGCTTCATTCTGACTAACTTCCTCCTCCAGCTTCCCCACTGGCTGCTCAGGAGGGCAGAAGCAGGAGGGTGCATCTATCAGCTCAGAGTGGGCCCCTGGCTGGGTGGATCTCTCCAAGGGCAGGGCCCGCGTGGCCTGATCTGTCAGTGCTTGGATCTGGAGAAGACCAAATTAAAGGGCCAGATGAGGGCCTCCCAAGTCATCTGAGCCGCAAAAGGCAGCAGAAGCCCACAGCTGACCCCCTATTCTGAGGCCTGGGTGGGGTTGGTTTGGAAAGTCGCAAAAAGGTGAAGAAAGTGTTCACCGGACACCTCCCTGGTGCCAGACACTCTCTACTGTGTCACTAGCTGTCCACAGAGCAACCCTACCCATGTGTGCTATCTTTATCCCTACTTTTCATATGAAGAAACCACGGCAAAGAGGTGAAATGATTTGCCTGAGATTACAAAGTTGGGCAGCCAGAGAATTAGACCCTCCCAGCAACCTTTCCAGAGGAACAGACTCTAGCATTCTCAGCTGCGCTCCTACTAAGCACTGGGCCCTGCGCCAGAGGCCTCACAGCTTTGGTAACTTTAATTCATCTTATTACACCCCGCTGAGACCAGCTCAAAACAGTTATGTCATTTGTCCCTGGGACACAGCTGGAGCAGGGTGGAGCCAGGGAGTTGGGAAGAGTTCAGCATTCTTCCCCCAAATTACAGCCAAACTGTCCCCCACAGCCCAGGCTGGCCTATCAGGTCACAGCCCAACTCAGTTCCCTGCGCCTTCCTGGAGCTCTTCTTGCCTAACCTCTCATTTCTCCTTTCCAGAGACCTGGGAAAGTGGCCATTGCTGTTTCCAGGTGACCAGTGAGACTGGATGCCAGGAAGGAAACCAGGGTCCCTAGACTTTTATAGTTTACATGGTCTGGTAACATCCCTACGTATATTTGGGGGAGACACACTAGGCAGTTGACTTTTGCCCACACAAGATCCCAAATTATCTACTTTTACCATCATTTCATAAAGAAAAGGTCCTTTTAATACCAAAAAAAAACCCCCAAAAAACAAAAAAAACAAACCACCAGCCAGGATGTGGGACGTAACTGCCAGACACAAGACCCTCCTTTAAATTGAGCAAATATAGCTTTTGGTTGTCCCCCTTCCCCCCATGTCTGGTCAATGGAAACTCTTCACAAATCAGCCTCGGGAAACCATTCTATGGCCTCAGCCAGTCCTTGCCATGTCCCAACATGCTCACTGCTGTGGCTTCTGGAATCTTCCCAGTCCCCTCCCCCCCCCCCCCCCCACACAGGTACTACTCCTGGCCTCATCCAGGACCTCAGTTGCCCCTCCCTGGCCCCTGCAGGTAACACACTGTTTCAGAAAAAGGGCAGTGACATCTTCCCACAGACGGAAGGGCAGAGCCTCACTGTCTCAAGCGTGTGTCTCATAGGTAAGTCTGAACTAAATTCCAGGTCTGAGCTTAGAGGTTCTGGTGTAAATGTCTGACTAAAAAGTGAAGCCCAAGGCTATGAGCTAGCATTAGCACTGTCCGAACTCCCTCATCGCCCCCACCCCACATCTCTCCCTTCTTCTCTTCGTACAGAGGAGAGAGAAAACTGCTTGGGAGAGGCAAGTTAAGGGAAGCTTCCCCCCACGACCCACCCACTCCCTGGTGATAAGAACAGGGCCGTAGAGAACTGAGCTTGCTGATCAGCTGACTTTAAGATTTTCCTGTATTATCTGGGTGAACCCCCGTCACACAGGGGTGTCATCACAGGGGTCCTTAAGAGTGTAGGGGAAGAGTTGAAGGCCAGGTTGGTGGAGGTGGGGAGGGAAGTTTCCTGTAGCCGTACAGGATTTGCTCTACAAACACTTTTTACAGCTTTTCCTTAAAATCAGGACGTCTTGTGTCCTCTTCCCTAACCCAGCTCCCTTTCTTCTCACCCCAGAAGCAACTGCTGTAATGTTTTAAACTTCTAGAACAAACGACTATATCCAAAACAATCCAGTGTTGGCTTTTGTACATAGCTTTTCAAATTAACTCCAGTGGCGCCAAGCTAGACATGATGTTCTGCAACTTGCCTCCTCCGCATGTGGCCTTTGCCTTTTTAGATGCCTCCAGGTTAAAATATAAAGCTGGATTCATTTGTGTTTAAGTGCATGAAATATAGCATAGTTTTTCCATTAAAAACAAAACCAAAGGCAGTGTGAAGAGTGGTACAAGATGTCAGACAGTCATGGGTTCAATCCTAGGCACCCCTACTTACTGTGCCCGGCAAAGTCCTTTCCCCTTTCAGAATTAGCCACAGAGACAGTCCCCTACCTCACAAGAGAGTCTGTGGTCGCACTGACGCAGGTCCAGAGAAAGCTTTTAAGGCAGTAAGTTCATTACTAGAAGTTCCCTCTTCTTGTCTTTGTTACTTAATGGGGAGGACTAGATTTGGGCTGATGAATTTCTTTTTTAAAATATTTGAATTTTTTGAGGTTAATCCCCATTTACAGCTTCAACATGCTTAGCGATAGTCTGCCGTGGCGCCCAGATAAGTTCTAGCAGGGACAGAGGAGCACGATTCCTCTGGTTTGCACGGTGACTATAAATAGTGCAGAAGCAGGTGGTAGAGAGAGAGCCCCCTTTTGCCTCCCAGCTGAGCTGTTTCTTCTTCAGACCTCTCTCCCAAAGGAGTAGAGCCCCACCCAGCACCCCTGCCCTTCTTAGGACCCAACCTCTGTGGTCCCAGATTTGTGGCCAGCTTCTCCAGTGCTCCAACTTCATCCAATCAGAGGGATGGCTGGGCCAAACTCAGCAGCTTTACGTCTAGGGTAGGTGCTGCGGACGCTCACGAGCCCTCATTTCCTCTGTAATACGGGTTGCTAACCACAATCGCCTAGCGGAGGGGTAGGCAGCACCAGCCCAGCCATGCTCCCTGAGGTAAGTGCTGCTGCCCAACCAGGCCCTGACCACAGCTGGGAGTGGAGAGCCCAGGACATGGGGGAACATCAGGGCTGGCCCACAGCTCAGGGACACCAGAGGGTTGGATGAGTAAGTAGAGGCTGCTGGGGTTTGCGGTAGAAGCACTGGATAGGGAATTGGGAACCCACCCTAGCCACTGACTTTCATGTCACTGCAGGCTTTGGTGCCTCATCTGCAAAATGCAGGTGCTAGAGGCTCCCCCAGGTGGGCTTTGGGGCTCCCTTCAGCTGACTTGGAACTTGAGTTGTTCTGTGCTGAATTGGCAGTGGGGAGGACCGCAGCTCAGGGGTGATTTAGGGGTGGGGGAAAGCAGTGATTCCGAGAGGGCCCTACAGGGGGGGTTGGGGGGGTGGGAAGGTGGGGCCCCCAGACAAGGAATCAGGAAGAAGAGCCAGTGGCTGGAGGAGGGGAATGGAGGGAAGCACCTGGGGAGGAGGGTTGTGGGATTGGGCACAGCTGGGATCCCGAGGCCCGTGAGCCTTGAAAGCAGAGTAAGAGAGATGAGAGGGCAGGAAGGGCCCTGCACAGAAGCAGGCTCTGCCTCCTACCCACAGTCCCTGGGTTGATGAGAGGACCCAGAAGGTAAGAGAGAAGCAGTCTTGGAGAAGGGAAGTCAGCACCACCGCAGCGCCCAGGGCGGGGCGGGTGGCCTCCAGAAGGTGCGGCCCTGGAAGAAAGGTGCAGGAGGAATGCAGAGGAACCAAATAAGCGATCAGGAAAAGAATCACTATAATAAAGTAAGAGTCAAAATCAACAGGCAACCAGAGACCAGAGACATCCTGCAGGGGAGGGGGAGGGAGAGGGACCAGGACAGGGGAGGGAAGAGCCCAGGGACTGTGGTGATGGTGCAAGGGTGGATTGGTGGTGGGAATTCTGTGGGGACTACACCTGAGAGGAGAAAGCAAACATACACAAATGATAATGAAAAAATATATATACATCAATTAATTAGAAAATGGGTGGTGGGAATTTCACGGGGAAACCATACATTGTGCACAACTGAAGGATGATGTAATAAATATATTAAAAAAAAGAAAGGGGCGAGACCCGTGACAGGGCACGGCAGGGCCTGGGGCTGGCCTCACAGAGGGGCTGCTCCAAGAAAGGCTCCTCAGGAGTCAAGGCCTTACCCTCTCCCCTCCCTCCCTCCTTCCCCCTACAGATGAGCGAACACCAGGTGCTCCTAGCCTCTGACTTAGACTTCCTTCTGGAAAACAGCAGCTCTCCCTATGACTACAGAGGAGAAAACGACAGTGACTCCTGCTGCGCCTCCCCACCCTGCCAGCAGGACTACAGCCTCAACTTCGACAGGGCCGTCCTGCCGGTCCTCTACAGCCTCCTCTTTGTGCTGGGGCTGCTGGGCAACGGCGCGGTGGCCACCGTGCTGCTGAGCCAGCGGGCGGCCCTGAGCAGCACTGACATCTTCCTGCTACACCTGGCGGTGGCTGATGTGCTGCTGGTGCTGACCCTCCCGCTCTGGGCGGTGGACGCTGCTGTCCAGTGGGTCTTTGGCTCAGGCCTCTGCAAAGTGGCCGGTGCCCTCTTCCACATCAACTTCTATGCAGGGGCCCTCCTGCTGGCCTGCATCAGCATTGACAGGTACCGGAGCATCGTGCATGCCACCCAACTCTACCGCCGGGTGTCCCTGGGCCGCATACCCCTCATCTGTATCATTGTCTGGGGGCTCTGCCTGCTCTTTACCGTCCCTGACTTCATCTACCTGTCGGCCCAGCACGATATGCGCCTCAATGCCACCTTCTGCCAGTACACCATCACGAAGTGGCGCCGCACACTTCTGCAAGGACTGCAGCTGGTGGCTGGCTTCCTGCTGCCCTTGCTGGTCATGGCCTACTGCTACACCCGCATCCTGACTGTGCTGCTGCTCTCCAGAGGCCGACGGCGGCTGCGAGCCATGCGGCTAGTGGTTACGGTGGTGGTGGCCTTCACCCTCTGTTGGAGCCCCTACCACCTGGCTCTGCTGGTGGACACCCTCATGGAACTGGGGGCCTTGGCCCGCAACTGTGGTCGAGAAAGCCAGGTAGACGTGGCCAAGTCAGTCACCGCAGGTCTGGGCTACCTACACTGCTGCCTGAACCCCTTGCTCTATGCCTTTGTGGGCGTCAAGTTCCGAGAGCACATGTGGATGCTGTTTATGCGCCTGGGGTGCCCAGTGCAGAGAGGGCAGCCGTCGTCTTCCCGCCGGGATTCATCCTGGTCTGAGACCACAGAGGCCTCCTACTCAGGTTTGTGAGGCTGGCTTGGGGGATCCCCTCTTGCCACCTGTTTTCCTCCTCATGCCATCTGACTTCCTCCTCATGCCAGTCTCCTCCCCACTCTTGTCAATAAGCCTAGCTCCCCACACTCCTGGGATTGCTCAGCAGCCCCAGCACCCCCAGGTTTCTCAGGGAGCCGCCCTCCTGCCTCCAGGGGCTGCTCCTGTGCTGCCAAGCCCCATCCTGCCGCTCCAGAGGCTGCCTCGGGTTGACTGCCTGGAGTTCCATCACCTTCTGATTCAGCAACTAGACCGTGGCTTCCCAGGTGCAGGGAGCACGAGGCAAACAGCTTAGTGGAAGCTGCCCCATGGGGCCTCGGCTCAGGCCCCCCCAGTTCTGCAGTGACTGTGGCTATGGTCCTTTCAAAGACCTCTATACTTGCTCTCTTATATTCCGGTGTCTAAAACTCTGCTTAAAGTATTTTAATAAACAGGATAATCACCCAGTGGACTGTGGTTGGGGATTATTGGGGTTTTGGTGGTGGGCCTGGTGTGGTAACATACATTTGAAAAGGTACGAACCTTATCCCCAAAACATATAGTGTTGTAAGCCAAGGTTACCTCAATTAAAATTTTTAAAACACAGGGATGGAGCCACCACGCTGACTCCCCTAAGGAAGTGAATGTGCCACCATCCAATTGGCTGGAGATGGGGCTGGGGTGGAGGGCCCTGAGGATTTGGCTGGGGAAGCTCATACCACTCTGGGCACATACCCAATTTCATCCAGATTTGAGAGTAGGCTTTGGTTCGTGGCTTCTAAAGGAACACTTTTAAGATTGTAAAGTGAAGGGCACCTGCAAGAAGTCTCAGTGATGCCAGACCAGTAAAGATATTGGCAGTAGGCTGAATAAAAGATGCCCACACTCTAATCCCCAGAAATTGTGACTTGTGTCCCTTGGGTGACAAGAGGGAATTGAGGTTGCCAGTTGGCTGACCTTAAAACAAGATGCTCTTGGATTATCCAGGCAGGTTCAGGGTCATCACTAGACTCCTTAAAAGTGAAAGGAAGAAATCGGGGCAGGAAGAGCACAAGGGACTATGGAGACAGTTCATGGATGTTATGGTGGGAGATTTATAGGGACTACACATGAGTGGAGAAATTAAATATTGTGCAAAAATAAACAGTAGTGTAAGAAAATAAAAAACTTTAATAAAAAATGAAATATTTTAAAAAATGAAAGGAAGGCAGGAGAGTCGGAGACACTGATGTTGCTGCCTTTGAGGTTGGAGGAAGGAGATCACACAACAAGAAATGCAGGCAAACTCGAAAAAGCTGGAACAGACCAGGAAATGTAATCTTCCACCCCAACCCTGGTTTCCCCAGAGGGGAGTATAGCCCTCCCTGCCAACAACTTGATCTTAGCCCCATGAGGTTCATGCCAGACTTCCGATTCCTGAGCTGTAAGACAATATGTTTGTTCTGGTCACACATCCCTGGGAACTCACTGGCAGCACTGAAGACCCTAACAGAGTCCATTAGCGCCGTCTGTGCCATGCCATCTTTATGCTGCTAGGTCACCTCACCTTCTTCAATTACGGTGCTACCTAGTATCCATTAGTGCCGTGAGTACCCTGCTCTTTGCCCTTCAACTGATTTCCATCTCACATCTCTGGCCCTTTTCACATCATTCGCCTACATACAGCTTTTTAAAGAAAACATTCATGGGCCTTGGGTTAAGGCTGAAATGGAAGAACACTTGTTATGTTCCTTAGCTAAGTAAGGAACCTCCATTTTGATATTGAAGCAAGTGGACAGACTAACCTCCAAACAGCGTAAGATTTGAAAGCAGAGTTCCACCCTGGAAACAGCAAGCTGTGTGGGCGGGAGAATGGAGATCCAAAGAAAGTTAACTGAAGACTTGGGTAGGGAAGGGGCTTATCCTTTTGTTATTTTGTAGATGAACTAGCTTTCTGTGGCCTTCTTGAATTATTAACTCGCTGTTACAAATGAAGTGATGTGGTCTCTTTTTTAAAAAATAACACATCCTCAAAAAAAAGTATTAAATTTGTGCCTTAAGCCACTAAGCTCGTGGCAATGTGTCATGGCAGCAATAGGAAACAAATACAATGCTGATTCCAGTCTCCTCCCAGATGATCTCCTACAAATGGGCAGGCCACTGAAGTACTTGTGGGACAGTCACAAGAGCAAAGAGAAACCCAGATGGAAAGTGCTCTGTGATGGAGCGTGTCTGTGTCCAGACACACCCCACAGAGACTCAGGTGTCCAGGGCCTTGGACAAAAGATCAAGGGTTTGTTCTGTTATTGGTGCAGGTTGTCAATGAACAGACTTGGCTAACCTGTGAATTGCAGAAAACATTTTATTTATTAATTTATTTAATAAACAAGTACACTGGCTCGGATGGCTTTGTTCAATATCAAGAGCAACTAAATTCGTGAATGTTTCTTTTATCTCTAGGTAGGTGTAACAGGTTACATCTCCCAGCAGCCCTGGTTTTGAAATACTGCCTTTGAAACATCTCTCTCCAACATACTCTCATTCTCTCAATGTACCACCCCTGAAAGCTCACTTTTCTTTTGCATTTTGTTCTACATGTCGAAACTATAGGGTCTCAGCGAGACCTAAGTTGATACAAAGGGCACTTGAATACCATCAAGGGCATAAAATGGTTAGCAATTGAAGCCCTGCTTAAGAACAATCATGGTTAACAACGCACAGCTTTAAAACAGTATTTAAATTCTAATACCCATAACTTCACAGAAACAAAGATATTTTTCTAAAACTTCTTACTTTTCTAAAGTGACTCATCTCGCCAAAACACATGCTCAGATAACTTTTAACGACCTTGATTCTGTTTCTTGGCAACAAAATCCTTGCCAAGCTTTTTCATCACATCCCCATGGCTAATCCCTTCTGTCTGCTGCCTTACTATTCTGTAATACTCCTTCACATACATGGCGAAGGGTCTCACATGGGGCACAATGGGGGTCCCATCTTTCCGAGTTAACGGCAGCATGACCAGAGTTCCCCTGCATTTGGCACAGATAAAGCGCTCGGTGTTCAACGATCTGGTGTAGCGGCCAACCCTATCAAGAAAAGAGACACGACATAGCAAAACAATCACAACTGTACCCCTGTTTCTTCTCTGAGCTGGCGGCCTTGCACCCACAGCAAGTCTTTTCTGTAGGTTCACAGAGTGGGGCACCAGACAGTGGCAGTGGTCAGGCCAACTCAAAGTAGGAAGGAAATGAAAAAGAGCACAAAAAAACAGCACATGGTCTCCCTGGTGGCACAAGGGGTTAAGCACCGCACTATGAAGCAATCCGCAGCCTCTGCAGCATGAGTTCGATCCCCAGCCGGCCAGGGAGAAACCCACATGGCACAGCAGCCCTCTCCTGTCTCGCCCGCTGCTCCCCTCAGCAGTGTATTTTAGTCAGTCTGCCTGTTCTGTTCCCCACTCTGTCTCTGATGAGTCCTCTCACCTCCCGCATCTCTGGCCTGCACCCCAGCTCTTGTAGGCATAAATAAATAAATCTTTTTTTAAAAAAAAAAAAAAGCAGCACAGAGGTGTTGCTGTTCACATCACAGAGCTGTGTACTTACTACTAAAATCACTGAAGAACCACTTGGAAAGTCACAGTGAAAACATAAACGGGAAAAGCCTGAGGAGCAAGGTCTCACCTGGTCTTGCACTGCGTGCATTCATAATGAATCCTATAGTTAATCTTGTAGTTATGGCAACGGGTGACCTTCGGCAGCTCTGGGTGCACCAGGTTAGACATTTGGGCATAATACTTCCATGCGTCGCCATGAGAGTCACGGACACCATCGAGCAGCCAGGACGCTGCATGGCATATTTCATGGATCAAAGTATCCCGGAGTCGGTCTTGAAAGATGAATGAAAAGAAATCATGAGCATTTCAAACTGATTCCCTCTGTTCTGCTCCCCAATAACCCCCAGACTCTCAACCCCACTAGATGCAAAGCCCTCTTCTAGAACAGCAAATGCAAGCAAGCATGAGTATCCTCTCCCTAGGATTCTGGAAGAGAAATTTCTCCCAACTGCAACCCAGTTTTGTTAATGGCAGAGAACCCTTGGCAAGAAAGTCTTTTCACAGGAGCTCCAACAGACCCCTTTTTTTTGTGGGATGCTGCTGGAAATACATCCAGCCAAAACCTGGCTTCTGCCCTTCAGGAACGTAAGTGGACAGGGTGGGCGCATTGCTGGCCAAAGAATTAGACCAGGAGAAGCTCCACAAACTGAGGTCTGAGTTGGGCCCCAAAGTTGGCAAACCTTAGTTGGACCATTCTAAGTGTGGCGAGCAAAGGCTGGCGCCAGGAAGGCATGTGGTGCATTTGGAAGGTTAGTGTGAAGAAAGCCTGGCTGAAGCACAGGGTAGTAGCAGAGCAGCGAGAGACAAGACTGGCTGAGCAGAGTGGCGGAGCACTACGACAGTCTCGAAAGCCAGGCCTCAGGTATTAGCCAGGTCAGGGAAAGCAATACGGCAGCATTGAGGAGACTGAATAGAGCAGAGAAGGGTGCGGTGACAAAGGCCCACACCTGGGCAGAAGCAAAGTGGAGAAGGAATGATGACACGAGAGACAGTGTGAAGATCTGGTGATTGCTACAGGGACTTGAAGTTCAGCCCATGGGAGAACAGAGATACTGCTGCGGGCGACAGGGACCTGCTGAGAGAAAGTGAGGCCTGAAAGAGAGATGGACCAGCTGTATTCTCAGGGATAGTGAGACCTCCAATAATAATGTCTTCTAAGCAGCATGCAGTAGGCCTGTTCACTCAGGAAGGGGGTAAAGCTGTGACACAGGCTGCCGGAGCATACCAACACCTGAGAGAATCTTAATAGGTGCTGGGTCCGAAGGAAAGTGTGCAGCAGAGAGGCTGCTGGGCTCCTGCCATCACCTGCGGAGTCGCAAACTTTCAGGGAGATCTCAATCTTGGCGTAGCGCTCCCTCTTCGGGTAACGTATCTCACCGGTGGTGCACAAGCCAGCAGTTCTCAGCATCTTTTTATTCCAGCCAATGTCTATTTTCTCTGGCATCTGGGGATGCAAAGCCGACAAAGTGACTAAGGAAGCAGTTCTCTGCTGACCAGAAACTATCAGCTCAAAAGGCTTTTGCAAATATAAACATTCTAGGGAGAACAAAAGCCAAGCTGAAGTACAGGCAAAGACATTTAATAGCATTGGGGATACAGGGGAGATTTCTGAGAGCATGTGAATGCAGCACTTGTGCTCCCTCCTATGGAAACAAAGTCAGGGGTAGTCGGAAGTGGAGGACAGGCCTGCTGAGGTAGGAGACAAAAGAAACCATGGCCAAAGAGTGGGGAGGCAAAATTTAAAATGCAACAAAAACACTCAGGATCCAGTAATCAGAGTTGACTGATGTAGCACCACTGTTGTCAGGAAGGGCACCAAGGGCTGGGGAACCTTTGGACAATATAAGTACTTTCCCTGCACAAAGTTCTGTCACCAAAGGCAATAAAGTCTGAAAAACCTAATGCCCCATAGCTCTCTCTGCCTCCACAGTCTCCTCAATCCAGCCCACACCCCCATGCTCCTTCCAGGTTAATGTCTTTCAGCAGCCACTTCATGTCACATCATATCCTTGTGCAGTGGTGCCACAGATTGCCATGTAAGCTCCTGCACCTGGCTCTCAGGGTGCTCCAGCATATACTTTTACACTATCAAAAAAAAAAAAAAAAAGCTAACAAGTATTCAAGTAGTGCTTAGTATGTTGGAGAACCTGTTCTCAGCACATTTAGTTAGATGAACTTCCTTAGACCTAACAATAATTCTATGAAGTGGCAGGTACTGCTACTGTCCCCATTTTATAGGTGGGGAAACTGAGGCAAAGAGGAGCTAAGTAATGCTTGCTCAAGATCACATATTTCTTTGATGTTTCCCTTCAACTTGAATCCTCTAGTCCAGGTAGTCAAACCTCTACACATGCCTGCTCCCCACCACTGTTGTTCTCTCCACTTACTTCTTTCAAGAAGCAGAAAATGGTGCCTCCCCAGTGCAAGGGGTTAAGCACAGCACTGTGAAGCTATCCTTAGCCTCTGCAGCACAAGTTCCATCACCAGCTGGACAGGGAGCTACCCACATGGCACAGCAGACCTCTTCTGTCTCACCCGCTGCTCCCCTCAGAAGTGTCAGTCAGTTCTGTTCCCCACTCTGTCTCTGGTGAATCCTCTCACCCCCTGCACCTCTGGCCTGTGCCCAAGTTCTTGTATGCATAAATAAATAAATCTTAAAAAAAAAAAAGAACCAGAAAATGGGCCTCCCTGGTGGTGCAAGGGGTTAAGTCTTAGCACTATGAAGCTATCCGCAACCGCTGCAGCATGAGTTTGATCCCCGGCTAAGGAGCTGACCCACATGGCACAGCAGACCTCTCCTGACTCGCCTGCTGCTCTCCTCAGCAGTGTACTTCAGTCAATCCACCTGTTCTGCTCTTCACTCTGTCTCTGATGAATCCTCTCACCCACCGCATCTCTGGCCTACACCCCAGTTCTTGCATGCATAAATAAATAAAAATAAATCTTAAAAAAAAAAGAAGAACTAGAAGGAAAACTCTCACTTCCTCCTGGCAATCCTACTTCCTTACCACTCAGGCTCTCGGTGATTCATCCCTCTGTGGGTCTCCCATGGTAGTGACAGTTTATACCATATATTATAACCCACAAACACTGTCTTTTTCTTCCACATATGCAAGACTCCACTCCTCCTCTAACTGACTCTTCCCAAGGGTAGGAAATACAGTTAGCACATCTCGATATGTCACAACAGCCAGGACTGCTGGGCATGCGAGAGAGGCTCACTAAGTGTTAATTCCTTACCTTTTCATCAAAGACAGTTCTGTTAAACAGAGCATAGATTTTCTGAACCAGCTCATCCTTATTTTGCTTGAATTTCTTCCCAGAATACTGCTTTGATTTCTCAAGGTCATGCAAGAAACATCCAGGGATATTGCACATAACATCCCTGCAAAGGTTAAATTGACTGAGATCTTATAGCAGAAGAAATAAGTTAGAAGAAATGCATACATACAGATCATATCAACAGAGACTCTGAAACTTGATGGTCCCTCTTTCAAGTCCTTGTGAGGGTGTTCAGCCCATGGTCTCAACCTCAGCAGGAGGGGTACCACCGCTGCATCTGTAGTCTCCGTCTCTCCCCTGAGATCTAGTTCTGAGTTTACACTTTGCCTGATGAAAATTGCCAAATAACATGGCCACGGCTCTGGTTCAACGTGTTTATTTCTCCAACTTCTGTTTGTAATGGGTGACATTTTAAAATTCATTTCTCCCTTCCCCCATATTCAGTTAAGCACAAATACAGACCTCACCATCCTACTTCCCAGCCCACCATCACCACCCCAGTTCAAGTTTCCCCGCCCTCCATGCCATGACACCACAGCATTCATCTAACCGTGTTCCTCAGCTCCAGGTTCATTTTGGTGTAATCTAACCACACCCCCTCCAGATTAATTTTGTTAGGCCTGGCTCCAGCTATTAATATGTCCCTCTCTGGCTTTTTTACTAACTGCTTGGTCTCGCATTCCAGGTCTGGGTCGATCTTTTCCCACCCTCTTATTTCCAGCCCCCATTCCCACTCTGCCAAAGTGAGTAAGGTCACTGTTCCCTGAACCTCAAGTGTGATTTCCCACCGTTTATTCATTACTTGGCACAATTTATTCTATCCGCTCACATCTCCACCTCTACTGAGAACCACCAGCTGTTGGTGCTTTATCATATGCAAAGAATTTCCTTCTGCATTGTCCTATTTAATCCTCCCCCACCCTCCAAAGAAACTATTACTACTCTTATGACCTCTACTTCACAGCAGTTAAGTGGCTTGCCCAAAGTTCTCTGAGACAAGGAATCTTCTGACCCAAATCTCAGGGTCTTTCCCTTAAACCATTATTGCTGCCTCACTCCCAAGGCCTAATTCAAAAGGCCCAAAAAATAGTGCTGAGCACACGAAGGACCCCCTGCTTATGATAACTATTTAAAATGAAACATCTTTATCTTGGCTGGACCCATCCACAAGTCCAAGGAGATGAGTCCACAGCACCGGAAAGATAAAATAGGAGCAAACACAGGGAAGTGGGTCTCTAACTTAACAGCACTCCTGAAACTTGAAATTTTGCCAAAACACCAGACAAGGCAAAGGCAACAGAACTCAGGGTATTCATTCCAAAGCCTGACATGAGGGACGCTAACATTTCTGTCTCCAATTACTTAGTTCTAAAAGCAATTTTGTGTCAGAAAAGGTGGCAGGTGGTTCAGATCTGCACACCTCAGCAGGGACCATGACCCCTCTGAGTGTGTGCTCTTGTCAAACAGGCCTTGTGGCTTAGCATGCCTTCACCTCAACATCTGTGCCAACTTACTGCAGGCTGAGCATCTCCACATCAGAGGAACCAACAAGACCCCAAAAGGGTACACCAGACACCATGACCAGCAAGCAGCCTACACAGAAACAATGCTAAGCACAACAGGAAGCCTACAGGCTGAAACAGGAAGTACCAAGGCAGCAGTGAGAAGCCTAAACAAATTACCTCTTTTGGATGCTGCAAATGACAATGACACTAGGGACAGCTTCTTCCTTCTTCAGTCACATGCTCTAGCAAAGCAACCTGGGAGCTACCCAAAATACACATCCCTATAGGCAAAGCAGCTGAAACATGCCTGTTAGTATCAAAGAAACTCTGCTGAAAGGGGATCCATGGAAGAGGACACGCTAAACGGCTGTCAGCTACCTTATCCGGCGAGAACAGTCTCTCTGCTTAGATCCAAGTTGCGCTGTTGCCCCAAATGCCTGACACATTGTTCTTTTTCTCCCAAGATGCATTTTTTTTATTTTTTGAAGATTTATTTATGCATACAAGAGCTAGGGCACAGGCCAGAGATGCAGGGAGTGAGAGGATCCACCAGAGACAGAGTAGGAAACAGAACAGGCAGACTGACTGAAATATACTGCTGAGGGGAGCAGCGGGCGAGACAGGAGAGATCTGCCTCGCCATGTGGGTTTCTCCCTGGCCAGCCGGGGATAGAACTCATGCTGCAGAGGCTGCAAATTGCTTCATAGTGCGGTGCTTAATCCCTTGCGCCACCAGGGAAGCCCCCAATATGCATTTAGTGCCCCAAAATACAGGTAAAAATTAAATGTACAGTCCTTCTAATATATTCCTTCTCTTGTAAGCAAATATTACTCCTGAATGCAAGCACAAACAAATAAATTATGCTCACTGCATGTGTTTATGGGAAAAGGTGAGTGCTTCCTGGAATCTAAATGAGAAAGTGTGAATATTCTGCTTCAAGTATGAACATGTCTTTGGTCTAAATGCCCTGTTTGCAGTATCAATTATATACAGCTGAATAAAAACAAAAGACCTACAAGCAACCTAATGTTTAAGCTTAAAAAATTCACAAGAATATATACAAGGAGGGCCTCCCTGGTGGCATAAGTGGTTAAGACGCAGCACTATGAAGCTATCAGCAGCCACTGCAGCATGAGTTTGACTCTTGGCCAGGGAGCTACCCACATGGTGCAGCAGACCTCTCCTGTCTCGCCTGCTGCTCCCCTCAGCAGTGTATTTCAGTGGATCTGCCTGTTCTGTTCACAACTCTGGTAAATCCTCTGACCCTCCACACCTCTTGCCTGTACCCCAGTTCTTGTATGCATACATAAATAAATCTTTTTTTTAAGATTTATTTATTTTTATACAAGAACTGGGGTACAGGCCAGATGCACAGGAAGGTGACAGGATTCACCAGAGACAGAGCGGGGAATAGAACAGGCAGACTGACAAAACACACTGCTGAGGGGAGCAGCGGGTGAGACAGGAAAGGTCTTCTTTGCCATGTGGGATTCTCGCCAGCTGGCCAGGATGGAACCCGTGCTGCAGAAGCTGCGGACAGCTTCACAGCGCGGCGCTCAACCGCCTGCACCACCAGGGAGGCCCCATAAATAAATATTTAAAAAAATATTTAGTCCCAGCTGTTGATCTTTGCCTTCACTATCACTAACATAGAGCTTCCATATGATCCAGCAATTCCACTCCTAGGGATTTACCCAAAGGACACAGAAACATCAATTCCAAAGAGCACCTGCACCCCTATGTTTATAGCAGCACTGTTTACAATAGCTAAGCTTTGGAAACAGCCCAAATGCCCAAAAATAGATGACTGGATCAAGAAGATGTGGTACATATACACCATGGAATATTACTCAGCATTCAAAAAAGATAAACACATGCCATTTGCAGCAACATGGATGGCGCTGGAAGGGATCATGCTCAGCGAAATAAGCCAGAAAGAAAAAGAAAAATACCGGATGGTCTCACTCATAGCAGGAATCTAGAAAACTTAAATAAGGGACCAGGAAAATGAGTAACTATAAGAAAGTGAAAATCAAAATCAACAAACAACTATGAACCAGAGACACTCTATGGAGGGTGGGGGGCAGGGAGGGGAGGGATTGGGGTCAAAATAAGGGGGTTGCAATTCTATGGGGAATATAAAAATAAAATTTATACCAAAAAAGATGTATTTATGTATGCATACAAGAGCTGGGGTGTAGGTCAGAGATGCAGAGTGTGGTGGGGGGAGTGAGAGGATTCACCAGAGACAGAATGGGGATCAGAACAGGCAGACTGACTGAAATACACTGCTGAGGGGAGCAACGGGCGAGTCAGGAGATGTCTGCTGCGCCATGTGTGTTGCTCCCTGGCCGGGGATCAAACTCGTGCTGCAGCAGCTGCGGATAGCTACGTAGCTTGTGTCTTAACCCCTTGCGCCACCAGGGAGGCCCCATAAATAATAATAAAAAAAAGAATATAGGGTCTCCCTGGTGGCGCAGGCGGTTGAGCACAGCGCTACGAAGTTGTCTGCAGCCTCTGCAGCACGGGTTCTATCCCGGCCGGCAAGATACTCACATGGCGCAGCAGACCTCTCCTCTCTCACCCGCTGCTCCCCTCAGCAGTGCATTTCACTTAATCTGCCTGTTCTTTTCCCTGCTCTGTCTCTGGTGAATCCTCTTATTGTCCCAAATATCTGGCCTGTACCCCGGTTCTTGTATGCATGAATAAATGAATCAAACAAAAAAAAAAAGAGGGCCTCCCCGGTGGCACAGCGGGTTGATCATTACGCTGTGAAGCTGTCCGCAGTCTTTGCAGTGTGGGTTCAATTCCTGGCCGGGCAGGGAGAAACCCACATGGCACAGCAGACCTCTCCTGTCTTGCCCGCTGCTCCCCTCAGCAGTGTATTTCAGTCAGTCTGCCTGTTCTGATCCCCATTCTGTCTCTAGTGAATTCTCTCACCCTCCTGTGCTTCTGACTGTACCCCAGCTCTTGTATAAATAAATAAATCTTAAAAAAAAAAAAAGAATATATACAAGGATTCAGAATCACTGCATTCATCCAAAGCACTAGAAAACCCGGGAAGACAGTTCTGCCTTCTCACCCTTTCCACTGTGTTTGCTTTGGTTTAAAGCAAACTGGTGACCCCAGGACTGTAGCTAGTCTGAAAAAAGAAAAGTGTCTTGTTTGGCTATACATCATTCTTATCCTGGGTTTAAGAACAAAGGAAACCTCAGAGGCCAGAGCTGATGTGGGGGGAAAGGGCTCCAGAGTGCCCAGGGAACTGCAGGGGCCTCTGAGGAGTGTCACTCCCTGGGATTCCTCCTCCTCCTCTCTCTCCTGCTCTTCCAGTTCAGGGATGGAAAACTTGGCCCTATAAGACTTCTTCATCCCCCGATAGTCCCCCACATGCTTTAACAAGTGACAACGGTGCAATCAATTCCTGTCAATTCAATATGAGCCAAACCTACCCGGTCTTGCTTTTTTCTTCTGTTGCATTGGCTTTCTTCTTTGAAGGCCCACGTGTCTTACGTCCTTCAACAGCTGAAAAGATAGGATTTCATTTGTCCCTGACCATGGGTACCATTAAGCAACTGGCAGGAAGGCGAACACAGGAGGAGCCCCCAAAGCCAAGCCCGGAGCAACATCTATAAACCAAAACTGTCCAAAACCTGCATACTATTCTGTCAGTCAGCAGGAAAACTGTTGCCCATGTGAATTACAGAGCTGCCAGCAGAGTAAGCTGGGTAAGATTCTGTCATATGAACTGACAAACAGAATAAGAAATAGAAATAGAATGACCCCAATGCTGTAGCTAGCCTGAAAAAAGAAAGTGTCTTGTTTGGCTATACACTGCTGAGGTGACATGAGCATGTCAGTGAAGATTAGATTTTGCAGGCAACTGAGGCTCGTAGAGTATACAGAACGGTGTAGCAGAACTGAGACACTTGCTCTGAGCAACATGGCTAATGCCCAAAACAGCACCTTCACCCCTTGCCAGGCAAATCTTCCTACCTTCATCTGGCACCGACTTTGCCGGCTGCTCTAGCTTGAGGCTCAGGTAGCCAAAGTTAGTGCCATTGGTTCGTTTGTTCAAAAAACTTATTAGATATCTTTTACATGCCAAGCACCAAACTAAACCCTGGGAGAGACAAAAAGATGAGGAAGAGTCCGCCTCACTGTCTAGTGGGGGAGGCAGGGACAGATTGAGGAACATTTCAACACAGTTGTATAGAGATAGGGCCTATAATCCTTAGGAAACTAGGAAGGAGGCACAAGCCTAACTTACAGCTTCTTGTAGCTAGTGACAACTGGGCTGAGTCACTAACTCAGAAAAATGGGATATCCTCAGGACAAAAAGTACAGGGAAAAAGCACTTCCAGGTGGATGGAGCAGCATATGCTAAGACATGGGTGCATAGGGGAAGAATGGACACATCTCCCTCCCACCATGTCCAGAAAGATCCTTTTCACTGGAACAGCTGTCTCCCTTGGTCACTAGAATGCTGCTAAAATGGAAGAGGGTTGGTAGGCAGCATAGGAAGACCCAAAAAGACACAGAGATATATCCAGGAAAAGGGCGCGACATACTTGCCAGGCCAGGCATACTTGGTTGGGAAAGGCACACTGAGCTTGTCTTACCAGGAGTTACAGTTATATTTTTGGTTTTTTTCTTCCTTTTCCTTGGTTGTTCCGCCACAGGCACAGGCTCTTCATCTGCCGGCTTTCTATCTGAAGCCTCTAGGTTAGCCTCAGGATCACTTGGTGGTTGGCAGAGATTTTCATCAAGATGTTGCTCACCAGCACCACCACGTGATCTGCTTTGGGAGGTACTAAGCCCATTCATCTCTTCTTCACTTGAGGATATTTGGTCCTGATAGCATGAATCTTCTATTATGATAGGGGCCTCCAAATTGCTACTCTCATCATCAGTAATAACCACTGGAAGATCCTGGATGTTAGGATGCTCTTTAATATCAGATCTGGTTTCCAGAAACTCATCTGAAATTCAAGAAACACAACCACATATGAAAATACTTCTTCCATCCCCTCTCTACACCTTCAGCTTCAGATTATTGAGCACAAATGAAACAAGCCAGGAACTGTGACATTATAAGAGACAGTTACAAATCAGTTACTTTAGATCATTTTCCCTCCGTGACTTATCTTTCTGAGAGTACTGACAGATAAAATAGAAGTCCAAGCCCAGTGACAATTTTCAAATCTCATTCTCTATGCAACACAATGTGGTTCCCAAACACAGGTCTGCAGACTTGCATATTTCCACTGATCCACAGCAAAACCAGAGAATTTAGAATAAAGGGTTTCCCGCCCCCCCAACAAATTTAATTTCTACCATTTAAAGGACTGCCCTTTATTTTGAGACTATGTCCTCACTAATCTTTTGGTGCTCTTTGAGAAATTATGGTGATTAGTAGATGATTGCTGGAATTTACTTCTGCCATTACACATATTAAAAATTGGGGCCACTCTATGTTGGTCACCAAAATTTAACTTTTTAACTGGCCCCTAAGTGTTAGGCTCTCAGAACCACTGATTTGAGAGTGAGGAATTAAGTCCACATATCAGTATTGACAGATCCATGGAACATCAGGAATGTCACTGCCCTCACAGAGGGCCCCAACTCCATCTAGAAACTGAGGGTGGCATCTCAAACACCACATGCTTTCTGGAGTCCACTCAGAGATCAACTTCTAGGATTCTGTAATTCTAGATGTAAAAAATATAAACCATGGCACAAGCAAAATGTGAACGTATATTTATGGTGCAAAAGCTCTTTTATCCTGAAATTGCAGATTTGGGATGATATATTTTGAGAGTTGTATCTGCTATTTGAATTCATTATCAAAGAACTTCAGATATGCAATAAGGAAAGAAAAAGGAGTGGGTGCTCCTATGGTAAAAAGTCATCTTTCCTAGAAAATTTAAATTTAAATGCAGTTGAAATTTTTAAAGGTAGGGAAATGCTGCTTACAATATATATTTTAAAAATGACTACACAATGAGAGAAGTTAGAAAGTTGGAAGTGTGTGTTAAAGCTCCTCAGGTCTTTTTTTTTTTCTTTAAAATTACCTAAATTCACTACAATAACAGAAGGAATGACATGTGGAGAACAGAATAAAAACAGACAGAAATGGTCCTGTTGGAGCATTCTTCATCCTTCCATTCCTGGGATGGATGCCTACAGTTAGGGCCCACGGGTCAGAAAAATAAAAGCAGCTTCACTTGAAAATTCATCCTCTAAAGAATACAGATCTTCAGATTCAAGGTGATGAGCTGCTTTCTGGCTGTCGATCATGCCCTACGCTCAAGCTATCTATCGTTAGGCACCCTTTGCATTACAGTAGCTTGTCATGTCATATTCTACTCTGTAGGACCTCTGTCCTGCTCAGGAACATCCACTCACAGCTAGAAAGGAGGGGAAACAGTAGGAGACTAGGGTTCGAAGGCACTGCTCCTTTCCCCATGCTGATATCCCAGGTTAGCTAGGAAGCTCTAGCCAGTGGCAGCCAAGGGGTAGTCAATAATTTAAGGGTGCCGGTATATTAACTGGATGCCTGTATGGCATGTTCTACACCTGAAAGTGAGCAAAGATCACTCAAATACCATCCCTGAGAAGAAGCTCCTAGTCTTCCTCCATTTCACACCCACTTAGCAGGTTCTGAACTGTTAGTAGAGCTGCACATCTTCCCCGCGCGGCTAAAATGGCCCTCAATTCAAACACACAAGGATCTGCTGTGAGAAACAAACTCTGAAGAAAAACAGGAATCTCCAGAAAAATATAAAGGGAGGACCAAAAGGCAAAGACAAACAGCTACCTGGAGAAAACAAGGATTCCCCTGAGAAGTTACTGCCTATTGTCCACGACCATCACCCACCCAAGTTTCCATCGAGCTGGAAAGTACAAGCCCACCTCACTCCTCTTTCCGCCTCTTTCTCCTTCCTACATGCACACAAGAGGAACAGAGGGGAAGGGGAAGAGCAGAGCAGCCTTCACATTTCTCAGTCTCCATTCTTGACTCTTTCTTCTGCTTTCCCTGTTGTAATATGAGGTATGGAAGAACTCTGTTGAGGGAGATGTCTCAGGTCTAAGGCAGTAAGAACAGTTGCCATGATATTAGGAAATTTACCAGGGGTGCAGGGAACGCAGTGAATCACACTACCAAGTATTCAGAACACATCATCTGCTAATCCTTATGCTAAAAGGATTGTGTGTGATGAGGCTACTCAGAGCTGTTACTTCTCTTAAGTTAGAAGTGTACTTGCCTTCACTGTTTATTTCAGTTATCTTAGCTCTTTTTATGTCTTGGAAGTGTTCATCATCAGACTCTGAGTCAATCACCATGTAGCTGAGTGACAAGATAGGAAAAAATGAGAAATATGAATACAACATTCTTCTTTTCATGGCATTTTCTACCTTTTCAATATCAATAATGAATATAATCGTTTTGACATGTTTTGTTGATTTGTTTCCCACCTAACTCTGTTGCCCTTCTTTAGAAGTATTCATTGCTCCTAATTTTCCAACTTTTCCATCTTGCAGGATGCAACAAACTGAGATCACCACTTTCCCCCTCCCAAATCCACTCTTCTTACAATTTCCCATCTACAGAAGCACCTGGGACTGGACCAAGATCAGTGGCATTCCTGGCAGGTATACACCTAAAAGGGTAAGTCATCCCTCAGTAAACCTGATTTTCAGAGCATTAACAAAATGATAGTTATCTTGTTCTAGGATTTCAGCTGACTGTAGCTGCTCACTTTAAATGACTGCATACAATGGTATCAGGTTTGGAAGCTTCCATGTTGCAAAAAATCAAGAGGATAAACCAGTGCAGGCCAGAAACACAATTTGTCCCTTGACAGCACTATGTGTCTTGGTGGGGGGAGTGGCAATGACCAATTCACATTTCTACAATAATTCAAGGAGTCGATGTGGAGACGGAGTTACCTAAGCAAACATTTCAGATTCACTCCAGTGTTGTTTCAGTGCCTCCTCTAGTCTGGCACCTTGGCAATACTCCCTCATCTTGCTCCAGCTAGAGCACAGTCGTTCATGTGAATAGGAGCAAAGCAGGTCGAGAGATAGGTTAGGGCCGGATCATAGAGACCTTTAAGTATTGGACTAAATGGTTTGTTTCATATGACAAATAATTTGAATAGGGGAGCAAAATATAAAAGCAGTGCCTCAGGAGATTCATCTGGAAGTAGGATGAAGACTGATAAGGGCAAGGAGCCTACTTCAAAAGCTCTTGCTCTAATACAAGAATAAAAATTGCCCAGGGCTTGAGTAGTGGAGACTGGAAGTTAAGAGATGGGTCAGAGAGACATTCTGAGGACAAAACGGATCAACTACACAGTGGGCCGAGGCTAAGGAATCTAATATTTTGAACCTGGCTGTGAGATCAGACACCCATTGTGATCCTGAACAAAGTATTCACAGAGGAAATGTGATGATTATCCTTAAATTTTCTCATCCAGTACATCATTCCTTAAAAAAAAAAAGTCAAATTTCACTGATTTTCCTACTTACCTGTTATTGTTCTTCTGTGTGCTCATTTCGGCCACAGCTAAATCAGAGAAATGAAAGGGGCATCAGAAAGCATCTGAAGCATGATCAAACCTAATTACATATGTCTTTAACTCATATAACCAAAATCCACAGAGCTGGTTAAAATTGATGGTGAACTCCAACATCCCCATGAGAGACAGACAGGAAATAAAAGGAGACCTAGAATGAAGGTGAAGGAAGTAAATTGGAAAAGAAGCTCAGAGAACTTCCTGTGCTCCTAACAAATGGGAAAGCAAGTTTGTTTCACCAATCTAGAGAGCCCTAGAGCCTGCTGACACCAAATGTCCCAAATCATATTTTAGTTACCTCCACAAAGACATGATTAAATTACACTTTCAAATGTAAATTACCACTTTGAGTGGACTCTACTTACAGGACTCAAATTCTTCATCACTGCTCGAATCCAGATTTACAATGCAACTGCAAAAACAAAATGTACTTTTTTAAAGGCAGGCTACTAACCTCACAAGCAACCAAATGTCAAAAATCTCAAATAAAGAGAACCACCACCGATCAGAATTTCTGAAATGCAAAAAGGTTTCAAGGGCTTTAAGTGCATAAGAAATTAAGATCAAAATAACCAGAGGTGAGGAAAAGTTAGCGGCAACCAGAGACTCAGTCTTTAGTGCGGAATCAAAGAGGGAAGTTGTTAGTTGAGAACTATTTTCAGTCAAGTGATTTATTTCTATTGAAAGATATGAAAGTGAACCCTGAGAAAGAGGTCCTAGGGGAAAGGGCTGGAGGATGAAGGGGTTGCAGCTAAAAATTGAAAGGGCAAAAGAGCAAATAGGACATCTTCAGGGGCTTTGCTGCTTGAAGAGGGCCCACTTACTGGAATCGCTAATCAGGTAAATGGCCAAATGTTGAAGTCCATTTCTTGGGAAGAAAACAAAGGGTGATTTCAAAGTTGCAACTGCTCCCAGCAGTGAACCACGATGTGGAGGCCTCTGCTTCTCCATCTCTGCCTGAGGCACCAGGGTTCATTCTTCCCTGCGCTGTGGCAGGCTGCTTGGCCAGTGGTTAAAGCTGCCCAAGGGGACACCAAAGGACTTTCTGGTTCAGGATCCTTCAGCTCACCAGGTAACAACCAGATGGATCGCCTATGACCAGCCATTCATGACAGATATCCAGAATCCAGTTCAGAGAAGTCACACTGCAAATGCACCACTTCAATGCTGGAGCCGGGCTACACTCTAGAACTTGATCATGATCATAGGTAATGTTATCCTTAGTCATACAGTTCAGAGGATACCACAAAAGTGGACATGTAAGAGCAATGAGGCTTTATATGTATTTATAAGATTTTATATAAAAAAATTAGTCTTTACCACTTCTTGAGGACTTTTATTTTAGCTTTGGGATTGACTGATTAGGTATACTTTTTCAGTCTTTCAAGACACCTGGTAGTTCAACCCATTGATTAAATTTCCTACTTATCAATCACTGTACACAAGACTTCATCAGCAATAGGCTTCAAAGTAGGTTTTGGGGCCTCCCTGCTGGCACAAGAGGTTAAGAGGCAAGCTATGAGGCTGTCCACAGCCACTGCAGCACGAGTTCGATCCCAGGCTGGCCAGGGAGCTACCAAGGCCAGCCATGCAGCGGCAGACCTCTCCTGACTCGCCCACGGCTCCCCTCAACAGTGTATTTCAGTCAATCTGCCTGTACTGTTTCCCACTCTGTCTCTGGTGGATCCACTTACCCCGCCACACCTCTGGCCTGTGCCCCACCTATTGCATGCATAAATAAATGAATCTTTAAAAAAAAAAGAAAAAAAAATTTTAAAGTAGGTTTTGTTTGTTGGTTTGATGTGTAATCCAGAAAGAAAACTCTTGCTGAATATAAGGTTTCATAGATACGGGTCAAAATTTTGACTTTGGTGATCTTGAAAACTATTATCAATAAATAGCATTATATACAAACTAAAAAGTGATTCATATTTCATCAATCTTCTAATATACTTTTGTATTACACACATTTTTTAAGAGATCAAAAAGGAGGCAAAAATGAGACTGGAATGAGTCTGGAAACATGACACAAAAAGTTAGATGATGAGAGCCCCACTCTAATCATTCCTAGACAAAATAGTGAATTCCAGGTTAGATAATAACCAACAGGAGAAGTTGTTCAAAGAAAGAACTAAGGAAGAAACAGATGGTCAAAAAGGACGCAGATTGTCAAATACCTTTTCCAAGTAAAATTCACCACCAGGAATACAAGGCCATAGCAAGTGTTTTAAGGTTCATGTCACTGTTATTAGAAATTATATGCACCTAGGAAAAAGCAGTTTGCTTAACCAGAACCCTATCAAAAAAGGACTAAGAAATCACATTAGTAAACTGGTGAAGCCTCTGAAAAACAGTATGGCAGTTCCTCAAAAAATTAAAATAGAACTACCATGTGATTCAACAATACCACTTCTGGGTATTTACCCAAAGAATGTGAAAACACTAATTCAAAAAGGCATATGCAGGGCCTCCTCCTTGATGGCCTAGGGATTAAGTCTCAGCACTATCACCGCTACAACCTGAATTCAATCCCCAGCCAGGGAGGTGATCCACATGGTACAAGAGACCTCTCCTGTCTCACCTGCTGCTCCCCTCAGCAGTGTATTTCAGTCAGTCCTCCTGTTCTGCTCCCCATTTTGTCTCTGGTGAATCCTCTCACCTCTGCACCTTTGGCCTATACCCCAGTTCTTCTACACAAATGCGCGTGCGTGCGTGCGCGCACGCGCGCGCACACACACACACACACACACACACACACACACACACACACGGCATATGCAGCCCAAGTTCATTTTAGCACTAGTCACAATAGCCAAGATATGTAAAAAACCCAAATGCCTGAGGACAGATGAATGGACAGATGTGGTCTAAAGCAGTGGTGGAACACTATTCAACTATAAAAAAGACGAAATCTTGCCATTTGTGGCAACACATGAAACTTGAAGGGATTATGCTAAGTGAAATAAGTAAAAAGGAGAAGGGAAAATAGAATATAATCTCACTAATTTGTGGAACATAAAGGGAAAAAACTGTCAAACAAAACAAAACCAAAACAAGCCTTTAGACTCTGACAACAGAATGGAAGTTACCAGAGGGAGGAAGGAATAGGCAGAAAGGGCTTACTGGCTGGCAGTGGATAATAACTGGACATTTGGTAGTGGCATGATACATATAGTTACTGAGATGAGAAACTGTTCACCTGCAACCTATAGCATTGTAAACTAATGTTATCTTAATAAAAAGGGGGAAAAGTCACATTAGAAGGCTTTGAACAGCAAACAAAAATGCTCTAAAACTTTTTTTAAAGATTTATGCATACAAGAGCTGGGGTACAGGTCAGAGGTGCGGGGGGGGGGGAGGATTCACCAGAGACACAGTGGGAAGAACAGGTAGACTGACTGAAATACACTGCTGAGGGGAGCAGCAGGTGAGTCAGGAGAGGTCTGCTGTGCCATGTGGGCCCGTTCCCTGGCTGGGGATCAAACTCATACTGCAGTGGCTGCAGACAGCTTCATAGTGCTGCAACTTAACCCCTTGCACCACCAGGGAGGCCCCCCTTCAAAAACATTTTAAAGGATCCAAAGATCTCCCCTTTAAAACCGGGGTCATAAACCTTCACAATTGTGCATAGACATTTTTATGATTATAGAAGATCTAGAAGAACCAACACAAAATAATTAATAGTTATTACCTCACAAGCATAGGAAGATGTGTGTGTGTGAGGGTGGACTTTCACTTTTTACTTTCCATGTTTCCATGCCATTTGATTATTTTTACCACAGGTCCCTATTCCTGTTGCAAATCTGAAAACTCAACAAATATGTTATTACTAAATATGATGAGTACATCTGTGTTTCATTCATTCATTGATTTAACCTTAAGCATCTACAATAGCCAGCCCAAGCCCTTGCATTATGTATTCCAGTAGCCTGCAAACTGCCAGAAGCCTGTTCACTGTTAATGACCTTGTCTCATAAGTCACTGGGAAAACAGAAGTGATTGGAAAGGAACTCCCTCCTCTTCCCATCAATAAATCTATTTATCTCTAACTATAACCGACTCTCCTTAATTATGAAGCAGTATTCCTACCACGATCACATCACCTTCTAGCCTTCTCAAGGACTTTGTTCCTGCAGTTTTCCATTCTGTGCTGTATTACTGATCCCTCTCTCCTGGATGATTCATTCTACTATCTCTAGAACCCATGCCCCCAAATTCATATTTCTAGCTTTGAACTCTGTCAATGCGATCTTGGACATTTACTATTTAAAATGTAACATGACCAACAGAATTTTTTATTTCCTCCCTCAGTTCTGTTCCTGTATTAATACTTACCCATGTCCCTCAATGGCACCACCATCTATCCAGGAAGGTTAACCAAAAACATAGAGGAGTCATCCTTGATTTCTGTCTTTCCTTCACATCCTACATCCAGTCCATCAGCAAGACCTGTTGGTTCTGAGCAGGTGTGACCGTGGCAGCCCAGGGCCTGCACAGGCTTCACCACCAGCAGCCTTCCTAGCCCGACCTGGCCCTGCAGACCTCAGGGCTGGCTACTACCCCCAGACTCACCCAGCAGACCAGCAGACCCCTAGAACACACCCGCTGCCCTCAGGCCCAAACCACAGATCCCACGATTCCCAGTTGCCCTCAGGTTCACTGAGACCCGGGCAGGACTCCCAGGTGGACAGCAAGTCCCCTAAGCCCAGGTTGTGACCCCCCCAGATTCCCTGACCCCCGATTGGGACCCTCAAGCTGGACTGCAGGTCCTGAGCCCTGGCTACAAACCCCCAGGTCCGAGAGCCCTCGCTGTGACTCTCTGACTCACGTCAGTGACCCCAGGGACCCAGATGAGATCCCTAGGTTAACCCCAAAGACCCACTTTCCGGGCCTCCCCGGTGGCGCAGCGGTTGAGCGCTGGGTTACGAAGCTGCCCGCAGCCTCTGCAGCGCCGGTTCGATCCCCGGCTGCTCCCAGGCCACCAGAGGAGGGTCCCACATGGCGCGCAGACCTCTCCTGCTACCCGCTGCTCCCCTCAGCAGTGTCCTTCGGTCCTTCTGCCTGCTCTGCTCCCCGCTCTGGCTCTGGTGGATTCTCTCACCTTCCCGCGCTTCTGACTGTACCCAGTACTTGTGTAAACAAATAAATAAATAAATAAATCTTTAAAAAAAAAAAAAAAAAAAAAAAAGACCCACTTTCCCCACCAGCAGGGGAGGCAACAACCACCCCCCCCTCCTTCGGAGAAGCATCAATTTGGGGCCAGGATCAGTCACCTGTTCTGAAGTGTGACCCAACCCCCAACACTCACCCGACACCCCTCCCAGCCACCAAACTCTGGCCCAGGAGGCCCCAGGTCTCCCTTGTCTGCCTGCTGGGCTGCCCAAGCACCCTGGGGCAAAAAAAAAAAAAAAAAAAAAACAAACAAACAAACAAACAAAAAACCTGTTGGCTCTCTCTCTAAAGTATACTTCATTTAATCTAAGATATTGTATGCATTTCTAAGAAAGAAAAAAACACTACCAAATGCCATGCCATCAGACATGTGACATCCCAATTTCAGAAATGTTAAAATGTGAAAAAAAAGTATCAGAATTGACAGACCACAATATATATCCTATATTCATCCAAATCTCTCCAACTCTATTAACACTTGATGCTAAGCCACCATTGATCGCTTCTCACCTAGACTTCTGTAAGTTGAGTTCTTGGGCCACAGTTGTAAAAGAACCATTTATCTCACAGAACATTGTGAAAATTAAATGTCTGCCCTCCTTGAAGATTGTGTACTTCTCCCCCATCACAGCATTTATCACACTATACTGTAATTGTCTGTTCACAAGTTCCTGTCTTCCACCCCAGATGGCAAGCTATGCAGGGATTTGGAAGTATATCTGTTTCACACCATCTACTACAAAATTAGCACTCAATAAACATTTGTTGAATCGATGAGTAAATACCAAAAATGGTTCCTAAGGACCATTTTTATTATTTTCCAGCCCCCTCCACACCACCACAGAACCTTGGTTTTAAAAGAGTTCTGCCTACCAGATCTCACTTTTCCAATTTAAAAATCTAATTGTACATATATGCCCATCAATGTGAAGGACTGAAGTACACAGGCCAAAGTTAAAAAAAAAAACCTGACAATAGTGTCCACAATAATGAATATACAATGACCAGTGGAACACCAGGCCCCAACTCATAGCTGGGGTGGGTAAAGAGACTGCTGGTCATTGTCCAGGCTCCAGGAGGATCTCCAACTGTTATAGGACAGGAAGCTGCCCCTCTCCCTGTCCTATAACACAACCAGATGTCCAGGATCTGGTCTTTGCATCTGGAGCTTCAGGAATGCAAGTTTCTCAATTCTTCAACTGCTAGAGGAGTAACTCCTGTTAACCAAATTTGTTAAGAGGCTGGCTAACAAACCAGAGTGCCTATTTACCTCTAAGGAGAATAAATACCTTGGGCACTCCCGATTTGGGGCCAAGAACCTGGAGAAAGTTCTGGAGAAAGCTACAATTTTGCCTTGTACATGTTTTATCACACACACATTTAATTTTTTAAGTTAGTTTAAGGGATTATGCTAAGTGAAATCAGTCAGAAGAAATAAGATATATATCACACAGTTTCACTTATACGTGGAATATAGAAAAACCAAAGGGTCACACGTTTTTTAACTGAAAAATTTAAAAAATGCACAACAAGCAACTTTGTGCATTTAATTACTTTCATAAATTGAATGTTCCTAGGATTGATCCCCGAAAGTTAAATTACTAATCAAAACTATGACCAATTTTATGGCACTTGGTACTTCTACTCACTATTAAGATTAAATATTCTGATTTTGCTAATTTCACAGGTAAATATTTTTAAATTTGCATTTCTTTTCAATACTTGTAAAGATGTGTATTTTCCAATGTTTGTTTTCTGCATTCTTTTGCTATTCCCCTATTTTTTTAATGTATATTGATTTTTTATATTTTTTTACATCATTGTTCATTTTTTTTTAAAAGATTTATTTATTTATTTATTTGTTTATTTATTTATACAAGCACTGGGTACAGTCAGAAGCGTGGTAGGGTGAAAGAATTCACCAGAGCCAGAGCGGGGAGCAGAGCAGGCAGAAGGACCGAAGTACACTGCTGAGGGGAGCAGAGGGCGGCAGGAGAGGTCTGCGTGCCATGCGGGACCCTCCTCCGGTGGCAGGGGAGCAGCCGGGGATCGAACCAGTAGCCGCTGCGGGCAGCTTTGCAACCCAGCGCTCAATTACTGAGCCACCGGGGAGGCCCCCATTGTTCATTTTTAAACAATGTTTGCTTACCCCCCCCACCCTCAGGTGTAGTCCCCATAGTTTCCTTCACCAATGCACCTGTGCACTATCACCTCAGTCCCCTGTGCTCCTCCCTCCCTCCCTCCAATCCCTCTCCCTCCTCCTCCCCTGCAGTATGTCTCTGATTTATAATTGTCCGTTTTTGCTTTGTTGTGTTTTGCAATGATATTTTTTTACACTGATGTCTTTTTTGGTTCCCCTATATTCCTGCTATGCTATTCCCCTATTTTAATGACCATCATGAAGCAGTATTTACCAAGAAATTTTGTGACTGATAAAAAAACACTGAAAAGAGGTGCAAGGAAGTGGAACACTTTGTCCTTGTTCTTCCAACAATCCCACTCTCCAGAGATAAACAATGCAGTTCATTGTTCTAGAAAGTTCTTAAGCATAAGCACATATCAGCCCAAGTAAACTGCAGACACCTTTTTTTCCCCAAATAGTATGATTTATATGAACTGTCCTGCAGTTTGAAGTTTTTTGCTTTATTTTTCTCAGTAGTCTTTCCACTGCCATCATATACAGCTGTTACCACATTTTTTGGATGAACCATAATTTATTCAACTATACCTTTAAGACATTTACGCTCCACTCAAATTTATTCTATTACAAACAATTCTTCAATGAACACCCTTGCAGATATTTCTCTGTGACTAGTAATTGAGTCATACATTCTCCCACAAAACTGGACAAAGACAAAGCATCCTGCATGTATATATATATGATTAAAGGAACATGAATTACAGGGAGAAGGGACATACATAGAAGGGGGAAAGAAAGGAGTCAAGAGAAAAGGGTAGATTTAATAAAGAGCAAATAGGATAGGACCTCATTTATGTACTTACGTACATGTATACAGAAATTATATAAATTTGTTTGAAAAGTGATATTGCCAGATTGCCCTCCAAAAATGTTACACCAATTTATAATTTCCACCATGACTGTATGAAATTGCCTGTCTCCCTAAAAATTTGACGACTCTGAGTATTATCATTTTTTAAAATCTTTGCCAATCTCATATATGGAAAATAGTATCACTTAAAATTTTTCAATTAAAATTAATTAAGTTAATAAGTTTCAATGTTTATGGGTTATTTGTATTTTTTTTCCCTGAGTACTACCTTCTAATATTTTTTGCCCATTTTCTATTTACTTATCAATCTTTTTTGATTTTTTATTTGTAATCACTTTGTAGATTAAGGAAAACAGGTCTTTATTAATGTAATTTTTCACTTATTATTTGTCATGTATATGCCTTTGCTTGACAGCAAACTTAGAAAGACCTCTACTCCAAAATTATTTGAAACAAAACCCATCTGTTTTCTAACATCTTTAAAAGTATCATTTTTTAAACATTTAAATATTTTATCCATACATAATTTATTTTGGTATAAGGAGTGGATAAAAATTCTATTCTTATTTTTCGCAAGTCAGTTATCTTTTTTAAAGATTTATTTATGCATACAAGAACTGGGGTACAGGTCAGAGGTGTGGGGGGTGAGAGGATTCATCAGAGATAGAGTAGGGAACAGAACAGGCAGACTGACTGAAATAACACTGCTGAGGGGAGCAGTGGGCGAGTCAGGAGAGGTCTGCTGTGCCATATGGTTAGCTCCCTGGCCAGGGATTGAACTCATTCTGCAGTAGCTGTGGATAGCTTCATAGGTTGTGTCTTAACCCCTTGCGTGGCCAGGGAGGCCTATAGTCAGTTATCTTACTTATGTTATCTTCCGTATTAATTTGAAATGTCACTGTTTTACCATGAACTAAATTTTCATATGTATTTGGATCTATTCCAGACTTTCTGTTCTATGGTTTATACCTTCTCCCACATCATACACCTACACTCTTATATGTGAAAAAGGCAAAGAGGGCAGCATCCAGGACAGAGAAAAGGTGGAGGAAATAAGGTCTCTAAAAACACTTCCTGCTGGGCCACCCTAGTGGCACAAGGGGTTAAGTCTCAGCACTATGAAGCAATCCCCAGCCACTGCACCAAGAGTTCAATCCTCAGCCAGGGAGCTGACCCACATGGTGCAGGAGACCTCTCCTGTCTCGCCCTCTGCTCACCTCAGCAGTGTATTTCAGTAGGACTGCCTGTTCTGCTCCCCGCTCTGTTCTCTGGTGAATCCTCTCACCCCCTGAACGTCTGGCCTATATCCCAGCTCTGGTTTGCATAAATAAATTAAAAAAAAAAAAAAAACAAAAAACACCTTTTAAAAAAAGGTGTTTTAAAAAAACAAAAAACACCTCCTGCTATCAAGAAAAATACATCACCTGTGTACCTTTAGAGGGCAGCACTATCAACAATGGGGTGGAAATTACAAAAGGACAGGTTTGAAGTTGATAGAAATTACACATATTCAACAGTGTGTCTGTTGCTTCATGGAGTTTTGTGTTCCTGGTCATAACAGAGATAGTATAGAGGACTCATGCATTTGGTTTGGAGGCTGGACTCCTGTATCTAAGATTCCTTTTTATAATTCTCATTTTATGACTAACCATGTTATATACTGAGAAGTATCTAAAAGTAAGCATCTATTTTTGGAAAAAGTTATTTAGCCAAGAGTAGGACTAAACTAAGAGAAAACAGAATTTTTCAAATCTCACCAATTCTCATCCTGGACCTTCAATTGGCCAACGTCCTTTTTGTACATGTCTGCATCTATAGTAAGGACAAAGGTGCACATTTTTAAGAAAACCAGAAGTTATAATCTATTAGACATTTCTACATTCTGTATTTATCTTTGAGCAGCTTCTTCAACCTAATTTAAAGCCAAAACGTTGTTCTGTGGAGTATTTAAATTCGTTTGTTGCAGACTTTTCCTGGCTAGAGAAAACTGGAAACAAGGAATACCACACCCCCTCCCACCTAGTCCCAAGGTTCTCCCCAGATCAACCAGAAAGCCCAAAGCACAATGTGGCCCCTGACCTGAAGTTATGACAGCCTCCACACATTTCGATGTGCAAGGAGGACAATCATTAATTAGGCCCCAGATAAACATCCCCCCCTCCACTGTAAGGCATTTCCCCCACACATTTTTGTCCCTAAACGGATTCCCACATCTGCACTGGCCCTCTACTCTCCCCACTCTTTCACTTCACCTCCTCCCACCTCCTCCCCTGCATAATCTTCTGCTTATCAGGTGTGGACTTTTCAGTCTCCCCCTCTCTACGTGCTCCCAGCCAATCTTATACAAGTAAGGCCACCACAACTCCCACACACCTGCACCCCTAACTGGTCCTACACAAAGCAGGCTGCAGAGCCACCAACAGCTTCCCCTCTATTCTTTCTCCTCTTCCCCTCTGCCTTTTGATCTAGGCAATCTTGTACCAGTGAGCAAGTCTAGGCCCCTCCCCCCCAACTCCAGGTCTTATACCAGTAGGCCTAGGCGCTTCTCCCTACTTCAGCCCCCACAGAATTACACCAACACACACTTCCCTCCTTACTCCACCTCCCACCTCCGGGAGGCGCTACACTTTCAGACCTAGGCCCATTGCCCCCTACTCTACCTCCCACCTCCAGGAGGTGCTACACTTTCAGACCTAGGCCCATTGTCCCCTATTTCACCTCCTACCTCCAGGAGGCGCTACACCTTCAGACCTAGGTCCATTGCCGCCTACTGCACCTCCCACCTCCAGGAGGCGCTACACTTTCAGACTTAGGCCCCTGCCCATACTCCACCTCCCGAGAGCCTTACTTTCAGACCTATGCCCCTCCCCCTTTATTCCCGCCCTCAGTCAGTCTTGCACCAATCAGACCTCAGGCACTACACTCAAGCCCCACCCTTCCCCACTTGGCGCCTCTCCGTCCTAGGAGTGTTACACTTTCAGCTCTAAGGCACTCCCCGCCCCCCAGTCAGTCAGACCTTGACTCTTCTCATCCCCACCCCCATACTTACCTCTCACTCCCAACCTCAGGCATTGATCTGATCCCCACAACACACACACACCCCTATCAGACTTCTACCTACTCTCCCACCCCTTTCCCTGACTTCACCCAGCCTGCTACCTCTCAGGCATAAACCACCCTCCCCAGTCCAACCTGATTTGCCGGCCATTTTCTGCTGGGCATAACACCCACCCCCACCCCACCACCACAAACCACCTCAGGCTTCCATTTCATTCCCTCATCCCCTTCCCCCCACCCCACTCCGCACACCATCTTTGCTTTACTACAAAAAATACACATATCCATATTCCAAAAGCCTTGTTTTGTTTTGTTTTGTATTTTTTTGTGGAAACTGGCAAAATATTTTACCAGAATCTCAATCCCAAGGTTCGTGGCAATCAGTGTCCAAGGCATGTGGTGATCCTAATTTTAATCAAATCTGCTCAACTAGAGTGAGTTTCAAGATCGTCCCCGCTTCCGTACCCACCGCCTCCAGCCCCGCAGCCAGTCACCTACCTGCTCCGGCAGCCTCCGGCGTGGGGGACTACCGCTCACGGACGACCGCAAATGCGTGAGGTCCCGAGCAACTATGAGGGATGACGCCAGGCGTGGCGCTTTTATAGAGCCCGCGCTAGGGAGGCGGGGGGCGGGGGGGGGTAGAGTGGTAGGAACTGACGTGTTCCCCAGCACCCACCTATCACAGTGTGGTCACCAGGCAAATTTGAACTTCGCGGCTTTGAACTCTGACTTGGCGCCCAGCCTCAGTGCTTCCGGAAAGACGTTCACCACTTCCACTGGGGGTCGCTTCTCTGTCCCAAGCGCACCACTTCATGAAGAGCTCCATTTCTATAGTTAAGGATGCTGAAACTCATTTTGGGTGACGGGAAAACTGACCTGGATCCTCCTGAACAAAATTTTATCCTTGTGAGGATTTGTATAAGCCAGCCCGGTTCCTTGCTTCAACAGTCCAAACCCCTAACTCTTAAGTCTGTTCGGCGGCCCTCCAAACGAATACGAGCTAGGCGGAGAGGAGAGGGACAGAGGAGTGGCGCCATGGAAGGCCACCTAAACCCCTAGATAAGAGCAAGGCAGCAATCCAACAGCGCCTGGCAACACAACTATGACGTTTGCTTCCAGAATCCTCCGAACCTTGGCGATAGAGAGGTTGGTTACTCAAAGCTTTTTGGCACTTGTTCCAGGCTCAAGAAAAACAAACAGAGGAAACAAATGCTTTCTAGATTGTGCCCATTTCTTCCAGCCTTGTTTTTCACAATTTAAGCATTTGGCCAAGAGAGTAAAAATTAAAAGTTCCTGCATGTAAAGATATTGATAGTTTATTTTATCCTAGGCACTGTTCCAAGCACCATGGAATAATTCTTGAGGCACTTTTAAAAAGGCTATGTTAGCACTGAGCTAAAAAGTGGCAGTGCTGGGATTCAATTTCCTGCAGAACTAGCTCTAAAACCTAAACACTTAAAACACTGTCTACATATATAAAGGGGCTTCATAGGGAATTATGTAAATGAAGCTACCATCATAACCCCATCTCTATGACAAACTTGCAAATTTACCTCTGTAAGACTGATAAAAAATGGGATTATGGAACTGCCTCAGAAGTTTAGGCAAAGAACTTGTTAGCTGTAGTTAAGAGGGATGTACTTGAAAAAGTGGACTTGGACTGAATCAAATTCTAAAGTTACACAAATTTATTCAAGGTGCACAAGCAACTCTTTTATACCAAAGGCAGGTGCTGAAGTAGACTAGAAATAACTGAAGCAGATCCCTCATGAGAGGATGGAGGTAGTAGTCTAGTAGACGCCTTCCTTATCTCCCTCATCACCTTTTAATAAACACTAATGCACATTAGCACTATGAGGGTCACAACATATATAAGTTGGGAAAGTAAACTTGCAAAATTTTATTGAAAAAAAAATTTCTCATTTACATGCTGAGAAAACTGGCAACCAAACAGCCTGTTCTGGTTCCTAATACACTGATATTCTCCTCCCTCAGACCTGTGGCTGAATTCAGCCACCATAGGGGTTAGTAAGGAAAGCAGTTTACCCACCAAGAGCCATGAATAGTTCACAAAAACAATGAGACTACAAGGGGAAATGAAGCCAGAGTGGTCACAGGAAAAGAATGAGTATAAATAGGTGTGCCAGGAGTCACCATCTTGGTCTTTGTCTTAATGGAGTATATGCAACCCCAGCCCTCCACTAATGCTGAGAAAACAGAATAATTCTTAATATCACAGCTGCACTAGGGAAATCTGGTCCTTTTGTTGTCCGAAGCTGTTCAAATATAGGTGTCATCATTGGATGACCCGATTATTATTTTGTCCAATACTCAATATAACAGAACACAACATACATCCATCGTATTATGGGCAAATCATTCATTTATTGTTTAAAGATCGCAAGACAACATCTGGATTTCTGTAGCACAATTTAAATGTTTTACTTTTTTGATAAGCAGAGCATAATAGAAAAAACAATTAGTTTCCAGTAATCTATATCTCTATTCAGAATTAACTTCCACAGACATGTTACCTGGAAACAAAAGCCTATTACAATAAGCAAAGCTTCAACCAGAGCAGCTAACTTTTTCGTGCCAGGAAAAAGTTCATCCCTATAGGAGGAATGATGTGCTATGTAAAAGAGGCTGTAAGATCATAGCCTTGAGGGCATCAGAAGTATATTCTCCTATTCCACATTAAGTAGTTTGGTGAATTTCAAACATCAGTTTATCTGCAACCATGCTGGCAACCTTTACCTGATATTTCAATTGAGTAAAAAATAAATTAAGAAATCCCTACACTGATGTTTCTTGATTTACATTGTTAAAAAGGAACACAGTTCATTAATATGTAATTCTGGCTAAGAATTACAATTGAGACTCCTTGCTCAGATTTTGGTTAACAATAAGAATCTTTCAGAAATTCAAGTTCTTATTAATCAATAATTTGTCAGCTAGGATACATTCAGGCATCAGCTGCAACTACATAATAGGTGCACCGTCTCAGCACTTTGGAAAGACATATTCTAGAACACTACTAGCAGACAAAAAATTATCTGTTATTGGATAGCATAAGTGCAGTACAGCAAGACAAAACATATATTCATATGTTGGCTTGTTTAAGCCTCAAGCCCTCGATCCTTTGCTGAAATTCAATAATTATATTCCTATGCTTTTTAATACCAAGAACTGAAGCTCCAAGAGGGCTAGAGTCTAATTTGTACTCCAAACCAAATAGCAGTGCAGTTCACTACTACTGAGGCTGAATCCATATAGACTTCAAGACCAAGTTCAGAAGACAGTTATCATATAATACCCTAGAAGGTCTGAAAAATAATTACTCACACACACACAAACACACACACACATATATCTGATCCTTCACAGCTTTTGTTTTACCTAAACATGTTTTTTGATGAAACCTATTTAACATTGTGGAGATAACTGTGACTTACTGATCAAATATTTGAATACTTATACTTACCTGGGATTTCATTTCTGCTGAAAGAAATAGGAAGATCAAAACTCACTTAAAAAAAAACAAACTTTAGAAAGGAAGGTAAAAATCTTATCACACTCATTTTTGGAAGCAGCATAAAAGGGGCAGTCGAAGGTAAAACACTGGTGAAATAGGGAAAAACTAGGCAAAACAAATCTATAATTATGATCAACAATACTACAACTGTGCCCCTCATAATTAATAATCACTCCTAAGAATTTCCATTTGGCACTAGATGATGTGTTTAAGAGAAACACTCTGGGATGTTTTCATTCAGACTAGGTTTTGTTAAGCTGAGTCACAAGGAGAAACTTCAGTGGGGAAAGAGGGAGAAAAGGAAATGGGAAATGGACCAGAAAAAATTTTTGAGTCATCATCTAAACCAACAAAGCACTGATAGCTCCAAACATTAGGTCAGACACTAAAATGACTGATATAGGCTCAAGTGGTTTATAAAACCTATAAAAAGACTACACCAGCAAAGTCCCCATTAATCTGTAGAGTTCAAAAACTAAAACAAGGAGCAACATTTTAGCTTAAAACCTTATCTCAAGATAATCATAATACACTTCACATGAATAAAAAACCTGAAACCAAATATTTTTAAAAAGCTCCAATACCCAAAATATAAAGAAAACAAAATTAATCCAGAAGACTTAATCAATCCATGGAACCACAAAATGGCTAGACAATCTTTATCTCCCCTCCACACTAACCATCCCATAGAAAACCAAGGGAATCAAACCTTCCAGACCTATTCACCACTTGGTTGCTGCAAAATTCTATGAAGATTCCTTGTGGAACAGCAATTTCCCATCTCATGTGTCTCTCCCTATCATGCAGGACGCAAGTCTGGCTGTGCTATTCTATGATCATTTTTTGTGACCCATCTGCAACATGATACTGTACAGATAAGCAAAAAGTATGTTATCTAGTTCCTTTTCCCCCAGAATGTTGAGGCTCAGGTATGGGGGTAATTTTCCTGTGCATATTCCATTTATTTAGGCCGACTCAGTGACTTCAACAGGCTTAATCATGTGATCAGGTTTGTTGCCAGCTGCATAATGCTCCCACATCTGTAGATATAGCCGCTCTAGTTCCATTGTGTATTGTTTGGTGTTGAACAGAGGGCTAGATATTCTCTGCTTCCAGACTTTGCCACGAATTTTCTTCAGACTAATAAAAAAAAAAAAAACAAGTTTACAAATCAGAACAGAAACTCAGAACTAGGCCCCATAAATATCTAGTCACCTTTGTGATAAAATACATGACCAAGCTTCACACTACTTCATTTTCTGATTGGCCCCTGTTATCTCAATGCTGAGAAAGTAAAAGAATCAATGCTAACATTATGCTAGCACTCATAATCAAGATTACCTCCACATTCTATAAAAAATTCTTTACTAAGTAAGCATATTCTAGAGATGTTATGCCTTCTCCAATCCATCTAATTTCTATCTGTAAGATAAAAACAAGAATTGGCAATGATACTGGCTGGAATGTAAACTGCTTACCCTTTTGTTAAGTAATATAGGTATTAAGAACCTAAATGTTCATAGCGCTATCATTAACACTTTTAAACCTATAATATTCAAAAGAAACAAATGCAGACACACATAGTCATGTAAAGATGTTCACTGAAGCGTTCATTTACAATAACTAAAACAAAGAACATTAAGATGAAATATTCCATTTATGAAAATTTTAATAAAATAGGAAAATACTCAAGGGGAAAAGAAATGCAATGTCTACTTTGATAGTCTCCACTTGTATTTAACTGAGTTGTTTATTCAACCTTTTTTTTTTTTAAGTGCTCCTGATATTGCCAAGACTGGTCCTGTTGAGAAACAGAGTAAAAAGCAATCAATGCTTCAGGGAACAGAGGGGGAATGATCTCTCTCTACTCTCCTTCTTAATATATCATTTGTCATGAGATAGACCATTCCAATATGGCAAAAAATTTTAGAACCAGAAGCTGAAGTACTCTTGTGTATTTTTAAAAGCAATTATAAAAAGTTGACTTAATGTTTGTCATGACAGAGCAAGTAAAATGGCTGTGCATATCTGCTGGCCTCAACCCAGCCATGACAATATTACCATCACCAAGGCTCCCCCATATCTCTATTAAAATTATTTACAATATTAACTGTATAATAAAAATATTTCTATTTGTTTTTCTGTATGTCAATAGGAGAATGGTTAAATTGTGGTACATCCCCAAACAATAAAACACTACTCAGCAATAGGGATGAATTATTGATACACAGCAATACGGATGAAACGCAAAACATGCTGAGTGAAAGATGCTGACTATACAGTATACAAATACTGTATGGTTTTATTTGTATATAGTTCCACTAACTTTGGTTTTTTCCCCATTTTTAAATTTATTTATTTGTCTTTTAGTTTACAGGTCTAAAAGACAAAACTAATATATGGTGGGAAAAATATTTAGAACCATGGTTATCTCTGAATGAGAAAAGGCATTAAGGAACTTTCTCCAGCAATGATAATATTCTGTATCTTCTAGGGGTTTGGGTTATAAAGGCATTTCTCAACATTCACTTAATATTTGTGTACTACACTGTTTATCAATTCTGCCTCAAAGGGGCAGAATTAAACTCTAATGTAATCCATTCTGAAAAATTTAAGAAGAGTGCTGTCATCTATAATTTACTTCACAATGTGCCCACCCACCAAAAAATAGATTGTTACATGGATAGAGGAGTAAATAGATGGACAGATATGTGATAAAGGAAGTATAGTAGTATGTTGGTGGTAGAATCTAGGTGGTAGATATAGAAGGTCTATTGAAAATTAAAAATTTTCATAACAAAATGTTGAGAGAAGCATTGCATAAAATCAACTAAGTTCCAAAAGTTAAATAAAACACATTATTTATCATTATATCTGGGATGAGGATGATGGTCATGAATCTTAGTATTAAGATTATGAATACTTAAAGAATCTTAATGATATTCAAGAGAAAAAATTTTTACATAAAAAATGAATGGTTTGGGCCTCCCCAGTGGCGCAGTGGTTGAGCGCTGGGCTGTGAAGCTGCCCGCAGCCTCTGCAGCGCCGGTTCTATCCCCGGCCACTGGCGAGGGTCCCACATGGTGCGCAGACTTCTCCTGCTGTGCCCGCTGCTCCCCTCAGCAGTGTATTTCATCAGTCTGCCTGTTCTGTTCCCCGCTCTAGCGAATTCTCTCACCCTCCCGTGCTTCTGACTGTACCCAGTGCTTGTATAAATAAATAAATAAATCTTAAAAAAACAAAGTAAAAAAGAATGGTTCAACACCTGTTGAATGTTTAGTATGTACCAAGAACTGTTTTAAGTGCTTTACATAGAACGCCTTTTTAAAAAAAAAATCTTCAGATCTGAGCAAGGTAGATACTACCGTTCATTTCCATTTTGCAGATGGAAAAAGGTACATCAGAGACTAACATGCCCAAAGTCGCAAAGCTTGTAGGGAGTGTCTGGATTCAAACCCAGGCAGCCTTATTCAAAGAGGATGCTACTACTTTTAAATTTTAATATGCTATTTCTCAGAAAACCAGGGAAAAACCCCACAATAACCCAGGAAAAATCTCACTTAAGAGATAAGTACTATTTCATTGTATGGATAAAGTGTCACCCCTCCAATTCCTACCCATCTGGGCACACTTAAGCTAGGCTTTATTTTTCCAATGCTACTGTGAATAAAAAGCATTATCAGAGTCACAGCCCCCTTTTTAAGGCGATTAAAACTTTTAAAAAAGGTTGTACCAATTTATTCACCAATGTATTAACAGGCCTCAGTGCTCCCTCATCATTGGGATATTTTAAGTCCTTTAT